CAACTCATGCAGTCCTTTTTCCAGATGTAAATGAGGGCCAAGTTGACCCCAGGGTGGATAAAAATTAATGATTTTTTAAAAAAATAAATTAAAAAAAATCAGATGTTTTTAATTTAAACCGGATTTTTTTTTATAAAATGCTTTTTGAGGAAAAAAACCTATCTTAATTAATTAGTCTCTCACAGTTTGTATGGCAACTTCCACCTTCTCTGTATGTATATATATATATATATATATCTTCTTACTATATGTTCAATTCTATGCATCCAATAAAGTGGGCTGTAGCCCAAGAAAGCTTATGCTCTAATAAATTTGTTAGTCTCTAAGGTGCCACAAGTACTCCTTTTTGCGGATACAGACTAACACAGCTGCTACTCTGAAACCTATTTAAAGATAGTTTTAATTAAGATACATTATAGCTCAAAGATATCTCATCATGGAATAGGGATTATAAATTCTGATTCTATAGTATGGGACAATATATTCATGTAATGTTTAAGAAAAGTTTTGTAAATGAGTTCCAGTAGTTCATGGATTAGGGACCCAATCTTATGGGGCTCCAGGGGTTTCTGTATAGATTATTTAGGTTAATCGTTCTATCTACGCAATGGGACTCAGTGCTCAGTCTAGAAGATACCATCAGAGATGCTTAGTTTTGCTGTTCTCAAACTGTGGATTTGTGTCGCCAGAGATAACATGCTTGTTAACAGCAAAAATGTTTTTAATTAACTAAATAATATAAGGAGGTGAGAAATGACAGACCTCAACCCTATTGTCCATCTGCAAATTTGTGTACACATAGTCAATCCCTTACCTCTCTCTAAAAGTGCAAAGTTTCAAAAAGTTCAATGAGTAGAAGATTGCTGGGGGTGGAAAAGATCTGGACAAGGAGAAGAAGTCTGGAGCAAATGTGAGAAGGGAGGGACAGGCAGTAGAAACAAAAGTAAAACTGTTTGAGCAGCATAGTCCAGAAGTCCTGAGGTTTTTCTGAGTATAGCCTTCATTGATTTGAGATATATCATACCATTCTCTCACTAGAAGGGAAAACCTATAATGGCAGCAGGCCATAAAAGAGACCCAGTTTGAGAATATTTTAATGAAGTTCCTTTACCTGTGGGTAAGACAGGCATGCGTGCAAAATGCAAACAGTGCAACAAAGAAATGCAAGGCCTGGTTGACGGCATGAAACAACATCATGCCTTCTCAGGAGGAAGCTGCGCGGAAGATGATGAAAAGAACATGTCTGAACATGCAGGATCTTCAGGTTAGTAAACTTTTTTATTTCATACTTCTTTCTTGCCTGTCTTCCTTCTGGACTATACTTGAATTCTCATGTTTGAGCAAAAAATATAGTTGTTACACTGTGGTACTATCATTTTAGATGCAGCTGTGATAAAAAAATAAAGAGCTGAAACAGGCAGATCTTCCTTTTACAATTTCACCTTTAAAGTAGCACTGAGTGTTAGTGAATGCAATGAGTAATACTAAACGAGCAATATGGTAATAATAATTAAATAACTGCATTGACTTATTTTGTTTATGAGAATCCATCCTCAACATACAGGATTCTGAAGACTATCCACCTTCAAGATCACTACAATTTTCTATAGTTTCAGAGTTATCTGCCAATGATAGCATTTCAGTCACATCCTGTATGTCACATAGCCACAGTACATCACCTGTATCAAAAAAAAAAAAAAAACCTCCATCATCCAGAAACAACCACAGATAAGTTTGTGATAAGAACCAGCCGATTACAAAAAGAGGTAATGGATGAAAAAATTGCCCGGTTTGTTTATGCAACAAACTCTCCTTTCCGTATGATTGAGAACCCACACTTCATTAACATGGTTAAGTCATTAAGACCAGGATAAGGTCTACCCAACAGAGCAGATGTCGCAGGCAAACTGCTGGATAAAGTGTATGAAAGAGAAAATGAGCAGTGTGCAAAAGATCTAGAGGCTAAAATTGTTAACCTCAGTCTTGATGGGTGGAGCAATGTCCACAGTGATCCTGTTGTACATGCTTGTGTGACAACAGAAGAAGGGAATGTCTTCCTTACAGAAACAATTGATACATCAGAAAATGCACACACAGCAGAATACTTACAAGACGTAGCAGTAAAAGCTAAACAAACTGTGAAAAAAAATTCAAATGTCTAGTACGCAGCTTGGTCACAGACACTGCTGCAAATGTATCGAAGATGAGAAGAAATTTAGAAGAGAGTGAAGAGAGTCTCAAGCTAATAACCTATGGTTGCAGTGCTCATTTGATGCACCTCCTAGCCAAAGACTTCAGTGTTCCAGAAATAAAGGCTAATGTTGTTGAAATTGCAAAATACTTCCGTAACAACCACTTTGCAGCAGCTGCTCTGAGAAAAGTGGGAGGAACCAAGCTAAGTCTCCCACAAGACATGCGATGGAACTCAGTAGTGGACTGTTTTGAGCACTGTATCAAGAACTGGCCTAATCTGATGACAGTTTGTGAACAAAATCATGAAAAAAATAGATGGCACCGTCACAGCCAAAGTTCTCAACATTGGGCTTAAGAGAAATGTTGAACACATGCTGAGTACCCTGAAGCCTATTTCTGTAGCCTTGAACAAAATGCAGGGAAACAGCTCTTTTATTGCTGACGCTGTTGAAATTTGGAAGGAACTGAGTGAGATCTTAAAAAGAGAAATATGCAATGACAGAGTTAAATTACAAGCATTAAAAAAAACAACGGAACAAGCACTATCTCCAGCTCATTTTCTTGCAAATATTCTCAATACTCAGTACCAGGGTCAAACCTTAACTGCTGAAGAAGAGGAGTTGGCTATGACCCGGACATCCAGCAATCATCCCTCCATAATGCTAACTACAATAAACTTCAGAGCTAACGGTGAACCATTCAAGAAATACAGGAACTCCTCACTTAACATTGTAGTTATGTTCCTGAAAAATGCGACTTTAAGTGAAAAGATGTTAAGTGAATCCAATTTCCCCATAAGAATTAATGTAAATGGGGGTGGTTAGGTTCCAGGGAATTTTTTTTTTGCCAGACAAAAGGCATTATACACATTTTAAACAATTTTAAACAAGCAATTTAATACTACAATCATTGCTGAGTATGAAGCTTGGTTGAGGTGGTGGAGTCAGAGGGTGGAAGAGGGTGAATTGTCTGGCTGCTCCTCTTTGCTGAACTTTCTGAACTCAAAAAAACACATCTAGAGATTGTTGTTTTGCTTTCCTTTTTTTTTTCTTGGTAAATTTCTTTATAGCAAGTCATTAGATGACCAACTCCCCTAATCACTTTGGAGCTGCATTCTCTGGTAGGATTGTCATCACTCAGGATTTGTAAGCCAGCTTCAATCGTTTGGAAAGCTTCAGAAAGCTTAGGGGGTCTTCCATGAGGGTCCCCACATCTGTACCCCAGAGTTCAGAGTGGGGAAGGAACCCTGACATGGTGGCAGAGCAGTGGGATCATTTTGGACCAAAAGCGCAATAGGATTTTAAAAGGACATTTTTTTTTATCCTTTTGTCTGCTTGGAAAGCAGGGAGGTTTTTTTTTTTAAGCTGTGAGCAGCTGGAGTTTTTTTTTTTTTCTCTGCCTGAGGGCAGGGTAGTTGACTTCCTGCAGGGGAATTCACAAGTGGCAGTCAAATTTCGATGGGTTGGTTCTTCTACTTCTTGGCCGTCTTCTTCCATTGCTCTCATCACCTCGAGTTGCATCAGATCTTCATTTGTTGGCTCTTCTCCGTGTGATTGCAGAAGTTGTGTAACATCAGCTTCTTCCACCTCATCAAAACCTTTCTTGGCCAAGCAGAGGATATCTTTCTTCATAGCGGGGACAACATCTTTAAATCCTATTAAGTCACTGGAGATAATGAGGCAGGCAAGGAGGCTGTAGATGCTGTAGGCTAGGAGAAGCCCTTTGCGCAGCAGCAGCTTCCCCTACTCGGCAAGCACCAGGGGCGGGGGGCTCAACCCTCAGCCCGCCCACTCCACCCCTTCCCTCAAGCCCCCACCTTTGACCCGCCTGTTCTCCCCCCCACACCTCATCCTCCTTTACTTCGCAGGCTGCTTCCTCACTCCTCCTTCCCCTCCCTCCCTCCTGAACGCTGCAAGCCAGCTGATTGCCGTGGGCAGGAGGCAGGGGAGGGAGGGGGAGCCTGCTCGCCAAGTCCTCACTCCTACTGAAGGGTTAATGTTTAGCTAGTCCACCTAGAAGCAGGCGGGGCACACCCTGACTGTTTCGTAGAAGCAATGCACACATTGCTCTATCCAAGGACAAGGGCTAGATATAAACCATGAGAACTTGATTGTTTGGACAGCAACGGTGGGAGGCTTTCTTAGCCTGGGCTCAAGGCCTGAGAACCAGGATTGTAGTAGATAGGGGATGGTAACTAAGTATATGAATTAACGTCACACATTCCTTTGTGTAGCAGTGTGTAATGCTTAGGGGGAGAAATATAATAAAAGGAGAAGGTGGAAGGCGGGGGGGCAGAAAACAGCCCATCTCAGCTGACCAGCCTGCTTGCTTGCAAAAAGCTGTGTTCTGTCTCATCACTGAACCGCCACACTCCTACCCCTTCCTTCCTGCCTCCTAAACGCGGCAAGTCAGCTGATTGCCGCAGGCAGGAGGCCGGGGGGGGAGGAGCGTAGGGAGGCTGCCTGCAGTGGAGAAAGCAGGCAGCCAAATAATGTAAGAGTGGAGCATTGCTCAACTTTAAACGCCCATGTTCCCTAATTGATCAGCAACGTAACAACGTTAACCAGGATGACTTTAAGCGAGGAGTTCCTGTATATGTTTGCTGATGATGTTTTAAAGAAAGTCACACCAGTGAACTGGTGGAAGTCACTTTGGAATGAAAATTGTTTCATAAATGCAAGATTTTCCACAGGAAGAAAATTTCAGTTCCAGTTCTACTCTACTTCGTACATTTCATGAAAGATTTTTTAAAAAAAACTCCCCAAAAAGACACAGAAATACAAAGCTATAGAAGAATGATAACTAACCTGGTTATAAAGAGCACAAATATGCAATGCTGTATTTCCTGAGGCATTCTGTGCTCCCATATCTGCTCCATAAAAAAGTAAGTGTTCTAAATGCTGGACATGTCCATATCGGCAAGCCTATAAAGACATAAATTTAACATTTTGATTACTATATAGTCTTACTGTATCGGGTAAATATCCCAATTACACATTTCTTCATCCAAGAATATGCTACATCCTTATAGCCTAATTCTCAGTTATTCTGTATGATTCTAGAGTACCAGTAGGAACACCGAGAGACACCACCTCCATCATTCCCCTCCTTTATTTCTCCCTCCTAAGGTCCACCTTGTAATAACCCTCCTTTCAGTACAGCAGCATTTGGTACAGTTCTGGCCCTCCCCAGAGAGTGCTTCTATATCTGATGAAGCCAGTCATTACCAAGGGACACATTTCCTTCTCCAACAGCTGAGACTGCTGTCTCTGCAGTGTTGCTATGTTTACCACAGGAAGGGTTCAGGACTCACACTTGGATGCTGTGCACAGCAGCTGACACTAGGTGCCTCGGTTGGCTCCAAAAAAAAAACACTTTAAAATGGAAGTAAGATTTGAAACAAAAATAATATTTGATATAGTAAATATGAAATTGAGCAAGTTAAGGGTCTGATCCACCTCCCATTGAAGTCAATGGAAAAAACTCCCACTAACTTCAATAGAGGCCTAATTGGGGCATAAGGCCCAGATCTTGTAAAAAACGTATACATGTGCTCGAGTTTGCACATTAAAGTGGAAATCAATGGGAGTCCTTATGTGCATAAAGTTAAACGTGTTTCTTAAGAATTTGGAGGATAACAGTCTAAGATACAATAAAATAAATAGTTCCAAATTATGTACCTACCAACATGTGCTTGTTACTCCTATTAATGCAGTGGGAACTATATACAACAGAACAAAGACAAAATATTCATTTACCTGCAAAAATTATGATTAAAAACCATGAGCCAGTAAATTAGCATGCTGCATATTTGACTGAAAAACATTTATTTTCTGTTTATAGGCTCTAGAGTAGAAAATCAAGCTTTTTTTGGAAAGGTGACACTAGATTGCACTGAAGATGATCTGATTTCTGAACACTGCTTTTAAAGAGTGAAGATATATTGGGGAATTAAATTAGCCGAAGTATTGTAAGTCAATGATTTTTCACAACATTGTTTCCTTCTGAGTATCTTCCTCTGACCTGTGAGCACAAGAGCTATAAGAGTGTACTTCAGAAATACGTATTGTATAAAGAAGAATAAAAATCATTACAAAACATAACTCAGTAAAAGATGATTGAGATTCAACAATAACTGCAGAGGTCCTGCATACAGAGGGTCTGACTTTGATCCAAAGAGAGAAAACCTGTGAATTATTTGGCCAGACACACTGCCCAAATTTCAAATACTGAATAGGTGAAATTAATTGTTCATTGAATGAGACCATGAATTAATCTGGTGAACAATTTTCATTAATGAATAAATCTGAGGGGAAAAAAATCACAGTATTTCTATCTATCAATCTTAGTGACTTATCTGGCTCCCACTACCATAATACATGAATGTCTCAGAATCTTTAATGTAGTGATTCTCTTCCCTGTGAGGTTAGGAAGTGCTATTATCCTCATTTTACAGATGGGGAACTGAGGATAATTAACCTGTCCCACATCACTCAGTTATCCTATGGCAGAGCAGGGAGTGAAGCCAGGTTTTCCAAGTCCCAGGCTAGTGCCCTAACTAGTGGACCATTATTCTTGTCTCTGGTCACAGACCATTCACAAGCAGAAGGGGGGGACGGGACAATATTTGTTAAATAGTTTACTCATTATGAATTATTTGCCCAAGTAGAGGGGGAAAAAATAGATTCAATGAAAATAGAACAGGAAAGATTTATTCTAAAATCTTTCTAAAATCTCTAAAATAATATCCATCAGAAAGATATTATTCACCAAGGAGCAAATGGAACAGCCATATAGGATGCCCAAATCTATCACTGCAAAATGATAATGTATATTTGTGTTCGGAAGTACAGTTTAGATTAGAATAGACAGATACTGAGTTCCAGAATTCAGATGCCTGCATCTCCAATAGTCAGCCAGCTAGTCAGTGCAGGCATGCAAAGGACTAAAATGTTGGAATCTCAGGTTTCTAATCCCAATTTTTCTATTGACTCACTACATGATCTTGGGCAAATCACTCCATCTCTGGGCTAAAATCAGCCCTGAAACAAGGGGACAGCTCCCATTTAAGCAACCAGGAAATATGACTGTTCATGCTAGAGCTGAATTTAGCCCTTTGTGTCTGTCTGCTAATCAGTAAAATGAGGCTAATAATGCTACCCTACCTGTAAGTGTTTCCACGGACTGCTGTGGCTCCCTCTGATGTCACGTAATGGTATGCAGGAGTCTTTGCCTCTAGCACCCCCTGTTGATCTGCTGTTTGGCACTGTGATTTGCCTGTTCTGTCCACAGTTTATCCTTCCAGCTAAATTGTGTCTAATCCAGACCTCTTCTGAGGTAATAAAAGTCCAACTAAGTCCATCATCTCATCTAGATATTTGCCTAGTTTTACAACAGGGCTACATAAAAAGCACTAACAAAGTCAGTGAGGTGTGAGGTTTTCTGCAGGAGTGGTGGGTGAAATTCTGTGGCCTGCGTTGTGCAGGAGGTCAGACTAGATGATCATAATGGTCCCTTCTGACCTAAATATCTATGAATCTATGAATCAGTACAAACTAAAATTTCATACAGACAATAACTTGTTTATATTGTTCTATATACTATACACTGAAAGGTAAGTCTAAAAGTCTAAATGTCCCAATGAAGAGATCCTTTCACCCTTCTCAGGCTACTCCTCAACCTGCCCTCTGGTGTCAGTCCTCAGCCCCTCCCCACCTCAGCTCAACAGTCCTTGTGCTGGGAAGAGGGTTATGCCCTTCCTTAGGGCTACTAGAGGAAACCCAGCCTCACCCTCTGGTCTGGTGGCCGACCCAGAGACCCCATGTTAAGCAGCTAGGTCTGTTCTTTTAGATGTGCTGCTGTTTCCCTGGGCTACTTGCTACCTCCAAACCCCTTGTGCTGTTTCCCAGGAGCCTGTGGTTAATACAGCCTCTCCTCTGGTTCCTAGACCTCTCAGGCTTCTCCCTAGGTCCTCCCAGCTCCTTGTTCCTCCCCTGGAACACCGACCCACAGTGCTGCCTCCCTGGGCCTTTCCCCCTTTCCAGAAGCCAAAACAGGGACTAACTCCATCCTTGGAGTCCTCTTTAACTTGCCTTCAGCAGGCTCTACCCAGAGAGAGTGAGAAGTCTATCTCCTGTCTCGTGGGTTTCCTTTCTCCTGAGTTCTCTCCTCTTTCTGTGTAGTCTTCCCTGACCCTTTCACAGCTGGGGTTTCTAAGGATAATTAAGCTGTCAGATCAGGATCAAATGATGGATAGTTGCTATATCACAAGCAGGGCTTAGCCCATCTCCCCTTAAAAGGCCACCCAGCCTGTGACACTACCTCTACGGGGTTCTGTGAAAATTAATCACTAGGGCCCAGATCCACAAAAGTATTGGGGGTTACAATGTTCATCATTGTGACGCCTAACTTTTAGGCACCTAAAAAATCACTGGAACTAAAATGGGAGCCACAAAGCCTGAATTAGGTGCATAGGTTCCCTATACAATGTATGCGGAGAGATAGGCACCTAAGAATGTGATCCACAAAAGCCAGCATGCTAGGCAGAGAGCAGCCTTAACTAGCCAATGGGAGATGTTCATGAGAGAGATGTGCTAAACCGCACCGTTCTCACAGAGTTAGGTGCTTAAGTTTGGGCTTCAGGAGACACCTATCTCTGCTTGCAATCCACAGCTGGGAACCCCTCTCCTGGAGGTGAGTGGCTTAGATGTCTATGCTGTTTCTTGCAAGATGAGTTAGGAACCTTCTTAACTCCACACAAAAGAGAAGGAGGAAATGCCACCTCTCTTATAACTTTTAGGTCAGTGGTTAGAGCACCCAGCCTAGGATGTGAGAGACCCAGGTTCAGTTTCCACCCTCTGCCTGATGGGGAGAAAAGATTTGAACAGGGGTCTCCCACCCACCCCCCAGCAGAGTGATCTAACCACTGGGCTATCAGATATTCTGATGTAGGTCTGCCTCAAGTTCTCCTGTTGAAGCTGTTCCACTTTCCATAAATAATTAATTAGTCATTGGAGCAAGAGGACTGGACCTCTCTCTCTCTCTCTCTCTGGATAAATACTAAAATAGTAATTGTGAGTTAAAGTGGAACAGCTTCAACAGGAGAAACTATGGCAGTCCCACAACAGAATATCTCATAGTCCAGTAGTTAGGGCACTCACCTGAGAGGGGAGACCCCAGTGCAAATCCTTTCTCCCCACCAGGCAGAGAAGGGAATTGAACCTAGGTTTCCCACATTGCAGATGAGTGTTCTACCACTAAAAGATATAAGGGAGGCAGCACCAAATCAGTTTTTGATGGGGTCTGATCCAGTGGGTGCACTGAGTGCATGCCTACTGGATCAGGCCCTGCAGGTGAGATAGGCATTCCCCCCTATCATCCCATGGTTGTGAATCCTGCTGGAGCTTAGGCAGGAGATAGGTATCCCAATGACTAGAGGGAGGCAGTAGTGCCCAGGCAAAAAGGCAGAAACATTGGTGCCTAGCGAACTTTTACAGTGAACATTTACGCACCAAGTGAATTTAGGATTTGATGGCAGCTGAGCAGTTTTGTGGATTGCAGTGGCTACTGGGACTGGGACTTAGGTGCCCAAATTAGGTACTTAATACCTTTGTGAATCTGGGCCTAAATGACTGTTCTAGTAAATAAGTAGAAACCAAGCTGTGATTAATGACTTCTTTACTATCCTAAGTCACTTCACATCTCTCAGAAATGATAAGAGATGGGACAGCTTTATACTGCCATCTTTCACACGTCAGAGAGGGGTACTGACATTGTTGCTTTCTAAGCATGGATTGCTCAATTAACCCATAATCCAGATTTAAACTTCCTTGATTTATCTAGGATTAAAACCAAGAAGATGGTTTTGGAAAACACAGCCCCCTTTCAGTGAGAGAAATAATTACTATAAATGTATTAAGTTGGGTTTTCATACAGAGAGGATTCTTCTTTGTACTTCCAGAGATTGCAGGTGAGACCATTCTTTGAAAGAAAAGTTCCTCCCCATCACTGTCACCTAGACTTCTGAGGGAATTAAAGAAACACTTACCTACCTCCAATTCACCCCCCCCCCAACCAACTATAATGGTGGTTAAACCCCTTTTACTTACTTCCTAATAGAAATGGACCCAAACAAATAACCAAGACACAAACACCCTGGAACACTGAAAAAGCGTTGATCCAAGTCCAAACGTTGCAACTCATACCCACCTCCTACTAAGAAAAGAATTGTGTACTAAGAAAACTATGATGAAGGAAAAGCGGGCATCCTTCTTAGGTCAGAAAACCTGATTTGACATCCTAGGATATTTGCCCACGAACACATAGGCAGATATACTAGACCAATTCATTTTAGCAGTAACCAAGAAACTAATCCATACGGAAGACAGACTGAGAAAATAATTGCACCAAACATGGGAAACTGCTGGAATTTTCAAATATACTAGTGTACTGAGATGCTTCTGATGCATATCAGAAGAGGCTTCTAAAGTATCTCTGATACATTTCCATGGAAATCTTACTGCCTTTTTTTTTTTTAACTGTAATTCTTCCAAAACGTTATCCCCAGGCCACTGGTAATTCTGCATCTAAACCTTCCAAGAGTCCAAACTAGCAAGGTGGTGAGTGCCATCAGATCCAATTAATCTCAGTGAGAGGTAAATATGCTCAAGAACTCAGAGAATCAGGTATCAAGTGTGAAATTCAGCCCTGTGGAGAGGTTCAGCAAAAGGCCTATGTACCGTTTACAGCACTTCATCCAAGTTCCAGAGCATACAGAGGAAAGAAATTTTTGCTATAGTTTTTGCGCATGCACACATGCGCCCACACACACAGAGCTTCCTTCGTTTCTTGTCTCACAACTTTAACGATACAAAATGACCCAATATCTGATGCCATAACACAATCTGTGTGCAGCAATCCTTCCAATCCCTTTGCCTAGAGCAGTGGTTCTCAAACTGTGGGTCAGGACCCCAAAGTGGGTCATGACCCCATCTTAATGGGGTCGTTGGGGCTGATGTTAGACTTCCTGGGGTCCAGGGCCCAAGCTGGAGGCCCACCACCCGGGTCCCAAGACCGAGGCCCACTACCCAGGGCCTGAGACCGAGGGCTTCAGCCCTGGGTGGCAGGGCTCAGGTTACAGCCCTCCCTTCCCCCCCCCCGGCCCCGCCTGGGGCTAAAGCCCTTGGGTTTGGGCTTCGGACCCCCCACCCGGGGTCGGGGATTTGGGATGGCTCAGTCTTCGGTCCGCCCTCCTCGGGTCATGTAGTAATTTTTGTTGTCAGAAGAGGGCCATGGTGCAATGAAGTTTGAGAGCCACTGGCCTAGAGACTAGACCCTCCTACAAGAAAACAGCAGCAATGCCAGATGTTATCGGTTTTATGCTGATCTCCTGTAAGCTACATACCTCCTTCTCTTAATACAGTGACTGCACTTAGAATGCCACAACCCACTGCTTCATTTCATGTACGTTAAGCACACTGCTGCTAAATCCCTTATTTGAAGGTCTTAGAGGAAATTCAGAGCTATTAGGAGAACACATAAGAGAAGAGGCCTAAGAAAAAACAAGTCTCAGACAAAAAGCATCTTACCAAATCATATGGATTTCTATGAAGAAAGAGATACATAGGCTTCTGGAATACAGAGACAGGATGCCTATCATTTCCCAAAGAAAGACTCCTGGTTGTTGTTGCAAAGCTGAACAAGCTATACCTGAAAAATAATCATGGTACACCATTGTCTAGCTCAAGAGATCACCAGAACCTTAGGGCATACTGAGATTAAACAAGGCCCTAAATCACTCTCTTATGTGGACCAGGTGACAGCAAATGTATCTACCTACCAAATATTGAACACTACTTGAGCAGAGCAGTCAGGGAGACCCAGTTATGGAGAAATGGGAAATGTCACTTGAAACTTTTTATCTAGAAGAGAGGAAGCAAAACTCAAATTTTGAACTGGTTAGAGCGAACCAGTGAGAAACATCCTTCAGTACAGCACACTAAAGGATTCCAGATTCAGGACTTGTGTCCACATATTCATTATATTACCACCAATAACTAAGGTCAAGATATTTCTGGTATAAAGGAACAAGCAGCATGACCAAGAAAATAGAAAGTGGCATCTGCAAAAGAAAGATCTGGCAATATTTTTGCAGTGGGGCATTCCTAACAGAATGCTACAATGCAGACTTCCAAGAGTCCACTAAAGGGATGTGCAATACCAGCCAGCTGGAGCAGTAATTTGTGCAACTATGTCCATAGAAACTGTGAAGCTTGACTACTGCAAAACTCTAGTAGACAGGATATTCACTTTACTAACAGCAAATTCCATGGTACTAAACAAAACAAAAGAAAAAGAAATCCCTGCATATATAAATTAAATACCTTCCAATAAAAGATTTTACAGAGTCCCACACAATACGCAAAATCCTGGAAAAGCGATCTGTTGAGCAGGCATATTTCCTGACCTCACAGTCCCGCAGCTGTAAATATAAAATCTAATGAAGAGTCATCTTTCATACCTGATGAATCTCTTGCCATCCATTTTCGTCTTTGCAGCTGACTGTAGCATGTTCATGAAGTAAAAGTTCACAACAATAAGGGTCTCCTCCTACTACCGCGGTGTGGTATAGTGGTGTCAATCCACAGCTGTCCTTGTAGTTAGGAGATGCTCCAAGCTCTAAAAGGGTCTACAAGTAATTATAAATGGTGGACATGTCTGAGCAAATAACCGAAGGGCTCTCTGTATATTTATACCTTTCCAAAGTGCTGTTTAGGAGGTGGCATTTTTTGTTCCTGTTCTACAAGTTGGCTGAATGGGCTGAAGTACAGACATATATAGCTCAGAATAGCTGTGGCACAGTGCCAAAGGTCCATGGTAATTCAGGCAATTGGTGCACTCTGTGAAGTCCTAGAGTTGGTACTCAGGGGATCTGCAGGTGACAGAATGAGTAGCAAAGACTGCCCACTACCCATCCTGTTATCGAGTTGAAAAATTGGGTGTTTTAATAAAGTTGTGGCTTTTGGCCACTCTTCAATTGCAGCGTGCCTTACCAAAAACATTGTGTAATTTGAAATCATGTCCAGAAGGAAGTAATGGAATTTCATAAACACAAGATTTAATCTAGAATGTCAAAATAATCAACAATACCAGTTAGAGCGGGAAGAAAAAACAAAGGGGCCAGTATTAAAAAGATAAAATGTATGATTCATGCTATTGGCATTCACTTTCAAAGACAGATCATAGAATCATAGAATATCAGGGTTGGAAGGGACCTCAGGAGGTCATCTAGTCCAACCCCCTGCTCAAAGCAGGACCAATCCCCAATTAAATCATCCCAGCCAGGGCTTTGTCAAGCCTGACCTTAAAAACTTCTAAGGAAGGAGATTCTACCACCTCCCTATGTAACGCATTCCAGTGTTTCACCACCCTCCTAGTGAAAAAGTTTTTCCTAATATCCAACCTAAACCTCCCCCACTGCAACTTGAGACCATTACTCCTTGTCCTGTCCTCTTCTACCACTGAGAATAGTCTAGAACCATCCTCTCTGGAACCACCTCTCAGGTAGTTGAAAGCAGCTATCAAATCCCCCCTCATTCTTCTCTTCTGCAGACTAAACAATCCCAGTTCCCTCAGCCTCTCCTCATAAGTCATGTGTTCCAGACCCCTACTCATTTTTGTTGCCCTTCGCAACATTTAAACAGCATTTCCTGCAGACAGATCTTACACTATTTATCAGTGCACAAGATTAAGGCCATGTTTACACTACCACTTATGTCAGCAAAATTTATATCACTCGGGGTGAAAAAAACACACCCCTCAGAGACACAAGTTTCACCAGCATAAGTGATAGTGTGCACAGCACTATGTCAGTGGGAGAGCTTCTCCTGCCACGTAGTTACCAATGCTCATTGAGGGTGGTTAAATTATGTCGACCAGAGAGCTCTCTCTCATCAGCATAGAGCAGTTTCATGAGGGATCTTATAGCGGCGCAACTGTATTGATACAGATGTGCCACTGTAAGGTCTCTAGTGTTAACATAAATTATGTTTCAGAAGTGATGGTGAAACAGATGCTTCTGAAATGAAAGGGCCCTTTGTTGAATGCAAATCCTGAAAGTCAAAAGCCTAGGGTAAATACTTAAGCAACCACAGATTAAAAGATCCATTAAGGACAATATGATAATTAACTCCAAAGCATTTTCCTTTATATATTGTTCTGTATAAAATAATGCATAATGTGGCTCTGAGAGAATTTACCTTGAGGGTTACTTGGTTCTTGGCTCTAGCTGCTTTGTGCAGAGCTGTCATTCCATCTTTCGCTCTGAAATCTAAATGTGCCCCTCCATTTTTCAGAGTTTTAATCACTTCTACAGTATTATCATGCTGAGCTGCCAAAGTTAGAGGAGTTTCTAAAGACAAAAAGAATATAATGTGTGAGAAAAATACAAGCAACTTTAACCAAAAAAAGTATTTACAAATATTTCAAAAATATTTTAATTGTTAGATTTTAAGTATAAAACAGATGAAACACTGCCATAGGAATAGCATAAACTATCAACTTACTTCCTTCATATATTGGAACTATAGGTTTTGCTAAGACCGAGCCTTTAAAGGGCAATAGATTCAGCAGGTAGAATTTGGTTTTGTTTATACAGTAAAACCAGAATGTGTACCACTTTATGCATTGATTTCATTAATCTCTTACCTCCACTCTCTAGGTCATGGTAGTTGGGGTCCAGTCCCCGATCCAACATCTTTGTGATTTTTTCCACTGAGAGATGGTGAACATGATCCATAAATTTTCTCAAATTAGCCTGAAAGAAAGAGTGACGACTGAAAAGTCCTCAGATCGTACGAAGAATATTCCAGTTACGACTAAGATCTTCAGCTGGTATAATCTCCATAGCTCCATTGACCTTAATAGAACAGTGCCAATTTACACTAGTTGAGGATCTCTGGCCCTAAAATGGTACTCAATCAGAGCATAGATTCTATGGAATGCAATGGTCAAAATTAAAAACAAGAATATGTTGCTTACAACATTCAGGAAAAAAATTACTAGAAGTCCTATTCATAAAGAAATCAGACTGATAAGATGGAGATCATAATTAATCCGACCTGTAAGGGTCTCTGAAGATATGTATGTCAGTATTTATAAAACTGGTGATGTACTGAAAACTTGCTGGGTTTATATAAAGTTCATATAAAATTACTTGTAAATTTATGGCAAAGTCAAACATAGGAAATATACTGTTAGAAAAATTCTCAAATTGTAGTCACTGGACCACTAGCCACTCATGGACGTTTACTGGTGGTCTGCAGACTGCTCAGCTGGTCACCCGAAGCAGATCTCCCCCTAATTTTCCAGTGCTAAATTACATACTTTTCTAAATATTCCTTTTCCACTTAAGCAATTGCCTTAGTTGTTGCAAAGATGCTTCACATTCTACAGTCAGTTGTGAGAGGGGAGGCATTCACAAGACAACTTCTGTTTAGATGTGGTCTACATGAAGAAGTCTGAGAATCCCTGGTGTATTGAATATAAAATCCAAGTCCTTCAGGCTTTACTCACATAAGCAGTTCCTTGACTTCAGTGGGACTATTCACATGAACAGAGATCTGCAAGATCAATGTTAGAACTATCCAGGCTGCACTCTGTATGTATTTTTTAGACTGTCATTAGAATCAAAGGATTCTAATCAGAGGGTCATTGTGCATCTGATGTTAGTACTTTTCCTGCCAGATACTATCTTTCAGAAAATGGATGCTCTCCCTTATCACCAGTAAATTGTACATACCTTTGTATGAATCTTGGCCTGCTGTTTTTCATCAAGATTTAATTGCTTATACACTCTCTTCTTGTACCGAAACTGATAGGGAAACAAGGAGATTAAGTCAAAATTTCATATTTTATTTAATAGTGAAAAAGATCAGAAATTATCAGAATGTGGCATCTGTTAACAGTCATGTAGATTTGGGCAAACTTCAAAAAAGGGCTTGGGAGTACAGTTTAAATAAACAAATAATTAAATAAACCCCAAAATGTTAGAATGCTTAGAACCATACTATTGAAATTCTACAATCCTTATAAGCTAAGTTTATACTTGGTATAAGTATCCAGAAGTTAATGAAATTACATGAGGAATGAGTTTGGCCCCTTGAATCTACACAAATAAACTGGAAATACCATGTGAAGAGCTTTCCCCAAAGACATTTCAGCACTTTCACTTCCAGCCACAGACAGAAAAAGGAATTGCAGAGGTATGTGAAAATTTAAAACATGCATTTAAAAAAAAAAATCAGCAGAACATTTCTGAATCCTTACTCATAGGAGTAGTTCTGTGGATGTTAATGACACATCTGCTGTGAGTAAGGATTACTCATGTGCATAAGGGTTACAGGACTGACTTTGGTCCAGCTGAGGCCAGTTCTTATTCTGTTCTGACCAGTTTGCCTATTGCTAGAGCAGACAGATCAGCTGAAAATTCATGGGGTCACCATTACACCATGATATATATTTACCACTGATCTAGCACACCACAATTTATAGTTCATTAGAATGCTAAATGGCTCTTCTGTGATTAATTGACTTTCGTGTAAAATGTATTTTTAAACATAGATTTCACCCCCACCTTTCTTCTCACAAGGCTAGATGGTGGTATTTATGACACCTCCCTGTAAGGGGGCAGTGTGGAGCTGCAGTACCCCCGGACGAGAGGTGGGGAGATTGTGCTCCTTGCCCATTGTGGTGCATAATCTATTCCATCCTAATGAATGAAGTAGACTGTTTGCTCTGGTCTGTTGGCCTCACCCTGTACAACAGTGCAGGAGGGTCACGCCATGATCCAGGCAGTGTGAATGCCTCAAAACAATAAGCTTTTGCATGACGTGCAATGTTGAGGAAGCGTCTTGTGTGCCACTACACAAGGTCCCTTCACTATCTGGCCCATAATCTTTCTTGATTATGTCTGAAGTTCAAAGCCCCCTCTCTCTCCTCCCCCTTTTTTTAAAAAAATATTAGCTTTTCATGGAATTTCTGTCTCTTTGTGTTCATTAAGATTCTACTGTAACTACTATTCATGCTCTCAACATGCTACAGTTTTCGGGGGGAGGGATAGCTCAGTGGTTTGAGCATTGGCCTGCTAAACCCAGGGTTGTGAGTTCAATCCTTGAGGGGGCCATTTAGGGATCTGGGGCAAAAATTGGGGATTGGTCCTGCTTTGAGCAGGGGTTTGGACTAGATGACCTCCTGAGGTCCCTTCCAACCCTGATATTCTATGATTCTCTGAACTGGTAAATACATGTTGTGAATAGAAACAAAAATAGATCTTTGTTTACTAGGTAGAATTCAAAGAGTGCCATGTATTTTTTGGATAGGGCCTGAATATCAGCTTTTCGGGCAGAACACTTTCATCCGTTACTTGCCATGTACTCGAATACTGCAGAGAAAAAGGATCCTTTCCCCATTTATTGCACATAGAGGAATTCTGCTGACAAGTCCTCTACTGTTAAAACAGTACTGTAACAAGTGCACTGGCGAAAACAGTAGACTTAAATATAGTGATTATTTACTTTGTTCAGGGTTATAGCACACACATCAGTGACTGACCCTCAGAATTCAACTGGTAGAGTAAGTAGGGCTCTGAATTCTCACTTCCATTAGTTTTACACCAGTGTAAATCTACTGATGTCAGACCTGCAAATTTCACTTATTTTTCCTGTCTACTATAGTTTTTTGGCCTTTCCTAGAGAGAAAGTTGAGCAATTACTGACTCAGTGTAGGAAGTATTACATATAAAATCAGAGAGTAATTTATGTGAGTTAGGGAATAGCCGAAATATAAAAACATTTCCAGATAATCTCCTGTTTCCCTAATTTTACTCAAAATTTAGATTACTCATACTAAGGGCTTGTCTGAGCAGTGAGGTAATGCACACTACTGGCAGGGATGGGAGGGTGATTTCTAAAACACACTGATGTGTAGTGGCATAATTGGTCCATGTAGAGCCTGCTAGTGTCCACTTAAGGTTCCCTAGGGCAGTGTTTTTGAAATGGTGGGTCCCACTCTGGGAGTTGTGACGCACTCAGGTTTGTCCCATATGCCAGGTTGCAATACCCACACCTGGGAGTCAAGCCAGCACCACAGGACAGGAGCTGTCATTGCAGGGTAAGTGTAGGGCATCCTTCCTCTCCAATCCCCTGTCCCCTGGTTCTCCCCTCCACATTAGTCCCATCATCCTCTAGAACTTTCCTACAACCCTCTGGTGGATCGGGACCCACCATATAGGAAACATTGCACTAGGGAATTTTTAATGTGCACCAGCAGGCTCTACATGGACCAATTAATGTGAATTCTGGATTTCACATGGCCCTTGCTATATGGTGTGCTACACAGTCATTTTTTCAACTAAAAATCCCAGTGTATCAATAATGAGCAAAATAGGTCAAGCAACTGGTTACTTGTTCTTTCATCTGGGAGAAACCATCAGCCCTTCCAGTCCTCTCACTCATCAGAGGGTGCCAGGATTTATATAGTCCCTTTTCCCAGAATGTCTTGCTTTATCTCAAGACTACACCTGGCTGTCCAGGAATGACATTTCCCAGCAGCCCATCATTGCTAAGGGGAAAGAAAAGTTCCAGCATGCCCTACAACTGGAACTGCAGTCTGGTCCTTAAAGCATAGTTTAGCACCTTAGATTTCTCCATCAAATCATAAAAAGTGTTACCCTGAAATGTCTTTCTGTCAATCAGTGATCATGACTCCTGTTCTACTGGTATGCCTCCAGAGGAAAATTCTGGAACAGAGTAGTGCTGGCCCCACAGGTTTCTAGTATTAAAGGGCTGGTACATCCCACCACAGAAAGTCATTGAGCCTGATCCTTAACTTTTATGTGAGTAATGCATAAAATACCCCCGCTGAAACAAACAGCATTACTTGTGTGAGCAAGGCTTCAAGGTCAGCCCTTTGAACACTACTTCTTGAGCGTAATTCACATCCATTTAGAAACCTCAAATAATATTTACTATATATACATATCATACCATAAATAAAAATGTTTCAGATAGTAAAGCTTTAAAATTTTTACAGTTGTATTAAAATACCTCTAAGGAGGGAACACCTTTATTCACTGGTTGTGGATATTCCCTAAGGAGTCGTTCCTCATCCAAAAATTTCCCATCTCTCCCGTTGCTGGCAGGCTGAAACAGCCCATAATTCAGGACATCTTTCAAACTCTGATTCAAAGTGCATAAAATTCGTTGTTTTGCTACCCACACTGAAGCTTCAGGATTAAATCTAATGCATTTCTGTAAAGCCAAATAAAATAACACGTTACAAAACTTATGAGAGATTTATAAAGATAATTCTAAAGTAACAAAAAGCCACATAAGTAATATTGTGAGAGCCTGCAAAGAGTGCACAGAAATTAAATACAAATGCAATATAATATACACTTGCATATAAAGCAGAAAATTTTGCTCAGCCACAAGGCAAAATATTCCACAATACTTGGTATCTTTCATTTTCAGGCACATGTTCACAATACCTTATCCAACTTTTTCTAGACAAAGAGGAAGAGAAGAAAGCATATAACTTGAGCTCAAAATGAATGAGATCAGCTATAACAAATTAAACGAATAAACTGTACTTGTCTGCATTTCCCTGCAAAAGAAGCTGCAAATCTACATTTAATTAAATTCTAAGACAAAGAACTGCATTAACAAGGAGATTAGATTTCAGACATCTGTTCCTTAACAACATCAAACACAGAGGTGCTATAAAAACATAGGGCATCCTGAGTTCTTTCTCAGACTTTAGAAATCATATCTTCTTTCACAGATCATGTGCGAGTACGCAACATCTCTTGGTACAACCCAGGGAAGGCAGGCTAATGGGACTTCAAGCACCCTTTCGATTTTGATTTTGTTTGGTGACCCGTGTAGCCTCCCGCATAATTTACATTTAAATTACAGCAGCCTGTCCTCAGCTGCCTTTGTGTGGCCGCAGTGATATGTGCAGTGGGCCTGTCCTCTCACCTTGATATGCCCCTCCCTCCTTCTGCACTGGGGCTTGCAAAGAGCATGGCATAGGGCTGCTATGTCAGTCTCTCTCCTGGACAATTACAGACTGTTCTGGTCCCCTTATGTTTCCCCAGCAGAATACAGGGGCTGCTCTGGGGCCAAAAGAAGTACCCCCAACCCCAATAATATTCCAAATACAAGAAAAAAATCAAAATACACATAGCAGCCTTAACTGTGACCACAATATGAACTCAGCTTTCCAATATGTCATTAATTTCTGTTTAGGTCATTTCTGAAGATCTCTATGTTCTTAACAATTATATTCTTCAACTTGCATTTCTTCTATATGTAGATAGTAAGAACGGAACAGTACAGAAAAATACAAATTGACACCTTACAGGAAAAGGAAATGCTTTTTTTAATCTGCCGTATCAACTTAATTTACAGCTTTCTATAGTACTCATCTTTGCAGCATCTGTAGGTTACATATTTTATAAATTCTCTAGAGATAAATCACTCATATGTAAAAAACTAAGCACTATGAATTTATTAATGATAAACATGTCAATACTTGACAAGATACCATGCAGTTCTGAAAGCATGAACCTCTGATTTCATACATTTAACCAAATCATACAAATGGCTAAATCAAGTGCAAAATTTACCACTTTATAGGTTTATATGGCAATGTTTCTTTTCTAAATCAGTTTCTCCATTTGGGGGAAATAGTCCCATTAGTGCAAAACATTCTTGGATCCTGAGAGGCATGAAGGACTTTCAATTCTCCATTAATTTCACTGGGCATTGCAGGTGCTCAGCTGGTCATCAGCATATCTCAAGATTTTGCCCTATAGAAATAGGAGTTACTAGCAGCGTCTCGCCCTGTATATTATTTGTGTGGCAAGCTGACCTGCTCACAAATTCCAGTTTAGGGGATTGCAATCAACGTTTGGCTCTGATTCTGCCAATTATTCCTCAAATTAAAGATCAGTTGACACTGATGATTAGGTATCCTCTATACATCTTTGTTGCCTGGCAAGAAATGTTCTAGCTAAGCTGCCACGATAGCATCACACAATCACCCATTTGCTGAAGGAATATGGCAGGCTTATGAATACTAGCTTAAATCCAGCTCTACAATGCTTTTTTTCATGCGTGGATCATTGGGGATCACATCTCAGTTTATTTCTCTTTGTGACTGGTACGAACTGCAGTTTTTTGAGACGTGCTTCAAATACTTACCCGGGCTACTGTTAGGATACATAAGGAAATTATAGGGGTCAGGGAACGTGGGGGGCAAGGAGAGAGAATGTTGTGCTCAGGAAAATAGTGGGAGAAGAAGACAAAGGGACATGGTTACTAGGCTAACTATACTGTTGTCCCTTTGTGGGGTCTCTGAGTGCATCCACCACAGGTGTCAGGCTGCAGGCCTTTACCTCTCCTGGAGTGGAATTCCACATTTTGCCCACTCTCAGCTCAGGACCTTGGTTACAGCCCCCTGGTACCAACCACGACTAATTCAGCAGGTCCATCTGGGATTGGACCCTGCAATGGTTTTTCTTTTGGAGTCTGTTACAGCATACGTTCACCTAGTGAGGAGGGCTTTAAACTAGGTTCACCGGGGGAAGGAGACCAAAGCCCTGAGGTAAGTGGGAAAGCGGGATACCAGGAGGAAGCACAGGCAGGAATGTCTGTGAGGGGAGGGCTCCTGCCTCATACTGGGAATGAGGGGCGATCAACAGGTTATCTCAAGTGCTTATATACAAATGCACAAAGCCTTGGAAACAAGCAGGGAGAACTGGAGGTCCTGGTGATGTCAAAGAACTATGACGTGATCGGAATAACAGAGACTTGGTGGGATAACTCACATGACTGGAGTACTGTCATGGATGGTTATAAACTGTTCAGGAAGGACAGGCAGGGCAGAAAAGGTGGGGGAGTAGCACTGTATGTAAGGGAGCAGTATGACTGCTCAGAGCTCCGGTACGAAACTGCAGAAAAACCTGAGTGTCTCTGGATTAAGTTTAGAAGTGTGTGCAACAAGAGTGATGTAGTGGTAGGAGTCTGCTATAGACCGCCGGACCAGGGGGATGAGGTAGATGAGGCTTTCTTCCGGCAGCTCACGGAAGCTACTGGATCGCATGCCCTGATTCTCATGGGTGACTTTAATTTTCCTGATATCTGCTGGGAGAGCAATACAGCGGTGCATAGACAATCCAGGAAGTTTTTGGAAAGCGTAGGGGACAATTTCCTGGCGCAAGTGCTAGAGGAGCCAACTAGGGGGGCGCTTTTCTTGACCTGCTGCTCACAAACCGGGTAGAATTAGTGGGGGAAGCAAAAGTGGATGGGAATCTGGGAGGCAGTGACCATGAGTTGGTTGAGTTCAGGATCCTGACACAGGGAAGAAAGGTAAGCAGCACGATACGGACCCTGGACTTCAGGAAAGCAGACTTCGACTCCCTCAGGGAACGGATGGCCAGGATCCCCTGGGGGACTAACTTGAAGGGGAAAGGAGTCCAGGAGAGCTGGCTGTATTTCAAGGAATCCCTGTTGAGGTCACAGGGACAAACCATCCCAATGAGTCGAAAGAATAGTAAATATGGCAGGCGACCAGCTTGGCTTAATGGTGAAATCTTAGCGGATCTTAAACATAAAAAAGAAGCTTACAAGAAGTGGAAGGTTGGACATATGACCAGGGAAGAGTATAAAAATATTGCTCGGGCATGTAGGAATGTTATCAGGAGGGCCAAATCGCACCTGGAGCTGCAGCTAGCCAGAGATGTCAAGAGTAACAAGAAGGGTTTCTTCAGGTATGTTGGCAACAAGAAGAAAGCCAAGGAATGTGTGGGCCCCTTACTGAATGAGGGAGGCAAACTAGTGACAGAGGATGTGGAAAAAGCTAATGTACTCAATGCTTTTTTTGCCTCTGTTTTCACGAACAAGGTCAGCTCCCAGACTGCTACGCTGGGCATCACAAAATGGGGAAGAGATGGACAGCCCTCTGTGGAGATAGAGGTGGTTAGGGACTATTTAGAAAAGCTGGACGTGCACAAGTCCATGGGGCCGGACAAGTTGCATCCGAGAGTGCTGAAGGAACTGGCGGCTGTGATTGCAGAGCCATTGGCCATTATCTTTGAAAACTCGTGGCGAACCGGGGAAGTCCCGGATGACTGGAAAAAGGCTAATGTAGTGCCAATCTTTAAAAAAGGGAAGAAGGAGGATCCTGGGAACTACAGGCCAGTCAGCCTCACTTCAGTCCCTGGAAAAATCATGGAGCAGGTCCTCAAAGAATCAATCCTGAAGCACTTGCATGAGAGGAAAGTGATCAGGAACAGCCAGCATGGATTCACCAAGGGAAGGTCATGCCTGACTAATCTAATCGCCTTCTATGATGAGATTACTGGTTCTGTGGATGAAGGGAAAGCAGTGGATGTATTGTTTCTTGACGTTAGCAAAGCTTTTGACACGGTCTCCCACAGTATTCTTGTCAGCAAGTTAAGGAAGTATGGGCTGGATGAATGCACTATAAGGTGGGTAGAAAGCTGGCTAGATTGTCGGGCTCAACGGGTAGTGATCAATGGCTCCATGTCTAGTTGGCAGCCGGTATCAAGTGGAGTGCCCCAAGGGTCGGTCCTGGGGCCGGTTTTGTTCAATATCTTCATAAATGATCTGGAGGATGGTGTGGATTGCACTCTCAGCAAATTTGCGGATGATACTAAACTGGGAGGAGTGGTAGATACGCTGGAGGGGAGGGATAGGATACAGAAGGACCTAGACAAATTGGAGGATTGGGCCAAAAGAAATCTGATGAGGTTCAATAAGGATAAGTGCAGGGTCCTGCACTTAGGACGGAAGAACCCAATGCACAGCTACAGACTAGGGACCGAATGGCTAGGCAGCAGTTCTGCGGAAAAGGACCTAGGGGTGACAGTGGACGAGAAGCTGGATATGAGTCAGCAGTGTGCCCTTGTTGCCAAGAAGGCCAATGGCATTTTGGGATGCATAAGTAGGGGCATAGCGAGCAGATCGAGGGACGTGATCGTTCCCCTCTATTCGACATTGGTGAGGCCTCATCTGGAGTACTGTGTCCAGTTTTGGGCCCCACACTACAAGAAGGATGTGGATAAATTGGAGAGAGTCCAGCGAAGGGCAACAAAAATGATTAGGGGTCTGGAACACATGAGTTATGAGGAGAGGCTGAGGGAGCTGGGATTGTTTAGCCTGCAGAAGAGAAGAATGAGGGGGGATTTGATAGCTGCTTTCAACTACCTGAAAGGGGGTTCCAA